GAGCCACGAAAGGGGTTGTTGGAATGCAACGAAAACCATATGAGGATAGACTTAAAGACCTAAGTCTATACTCCCTTAGCCATCGAAGGATACGTGGTGACTTAGTAGTGGCTTACAAAATAATGAGTAACCCAAGTCACCCAAACAGAGGAGTCCTACCGAGTGGCCACTACGGAGATCCTCGAGGAAACCCCAATAGAATAGCCCACAAAAGGTCAAAAACGCATGTGCGTTCACAGTTCTTCTCCCTCCAAGTCTGTGGGTACTGGAACGCACTACCAGAAGAGGTGGTCTCCGCCCCAACTGTTGAAAGCTTCAAGAAGAGGCTAGACAGTCATGCAGAGACTCACGGTCTACCCACACATAGCTGGAACACGAAGTGATGTCAAGCCACCCCAACCAGTTTTCTTTCTATTGTAACCATTGAGCCCTTTTCACCCCTTCCACTTGCCATAAGTTAGCCTCACTTACCTAAATTCTTCATACTTTTTCACCCCTACTCACCTTACTTGGGTGTAAGTAGATTACTCCATTAGTTCACTTTTCCTCTTTTCTCTTACTCACACAAACACTTTCTAAGTTTTCTCTTCACTGTCCCTAACCCTCTCTAGCGATCAGTCCTAACAACTGTCTTGCAACCGGACATCTGAAGAAGCCAACTACACCACAGTCCAAGGCAAACAAAGCAACACTTAACTCCTGTTCTATAAATCAGGGATGTGGCAGACGAGTGGCTGGACCTACTGCATCGGAATCCGCCAAAGATCTGGAGCCGTTCCGCAAGACCAAGAAGCGAGCGCGAAGAAATCAACTGGTTTACACAAGGTCGTTAAAATGACATTGGATATTAGACTCAAGGGAGGGGAAACAGCCCAAGAAAAGAAAAAAAGCGTAAAAGGGGGATCGGTTGCATTTCCCCACGAATGTTGCTAATTTTAAGATTTAGTTTCCGTCTCGTTTCCAACCTTTCCCGCTTATTCGATTTATTTTTCCTTTTCTTGTCTGTACGGTTCGGCTGGAAAAGTAATTTTCACTATATAGAAAATTTGATTGGTTGTCTCAGCACTTGTTTGGTGGCCTTCAAAATCCCTGTTTATGCTATTACCTCATTTTCAAAACGACCACAGAACAAAGCATATGTCCCTCCACCAGTAAACTACTGGTCATTTGACCTACAAATGCGTTGGAGCCACAATCAAAGTATGGCTTTGATCTATTGCTGATTGGGGTTTTTCAACAGGAACTAGATTCAAAAAAAATACTGATTGTAACTATTAAATCAGCCTGTACGTAGAGCCGTCCTGTTGTAAGCACAACAAGGTTGGGCGTAGATCTTCGGTCTTCAGTGAAAATAACTAAGCTGTTGGTGTGCCTTAATCCTTGCAACGGTATCTCTTCGAAGGCCAAGTATTTCCTTGGATGCGATCACTGAAGTAGCTTCTGCCACTTGTTCCGGTAATTGATCTTTCCGGAATGCAAAAGGCTGGAACAGGTCGGCTCTATTCCTACAATAGGATAGGTGGGGAAGGTTTATCTTTGTTAGTAGCTCTTCGTAAGGAAGATGGGCAAGACTTGTCACTAAAAGACAACCCTCTGAAGTCGTCCTAGCTAAAATGATACACGTGTACCAAATTACTTCTTGAAGCGTATACTTCAAGTCCATTTGGATTAGCTACCAGCCTACGATACGCCCTAATATAAGTGGGGTATGTGATCATAAACATCTCTTCATCATTGCATTTGAATGCTCTACGAAGCGACCAGACATACGTGAAGCTTTAGCTGTGGAAGCGTTACAGTTGGGAGTTCTTTCGAAGGCATGACTTCCGATAACCCCTTAGTTTAACTTTCAAACCCGAGATAATAGTTGAACATTTACTGAGTAGCCACCAAAAAAGTCATCACCAGTGAACATTACGGTACTTTTTCTGGAAATGTTTTCTAGGCTCTTTAGTCTAGACCCTCTAAGGGGTTCATGAATGCCAGTGTTGACTACAGACCTTTCATTATCATTATGGATGTTCCTCCATATCTTGATATCATCAATAAATAGAAGTGATAATGATTCGCTCATCTTTGGTATTTAGGAAATATGAAGAAAGAAGAGCAGCGGTCTAAGTATAGTGCTCTGAGAAACACCATTGATGACAGATTTCCAGTCAGATAGTCTTTCATTGACTCATACTCTCTGCCTTCCCGCGTGTTAGTATGTCCTGATCAAGGCATGAACCACACCGTGAATAATAAATTTGCGGAGTTTCTCCATCAATCTCGTGTTTGTCACTGTCGAAAGCGTTACTAAAGTCAGTGAACGAAACGTCTACTGGTAATTTGTCTTTCCTAACCTTAACCTAGTCCTCTCTCCAGAGCGTACTGCTCGGAAGCCATGTTATTCTTGTGTCGGTAGGTTGTATGACTCCAAGTGCTTGAGTGTCTCGTCACGTATAATCTCTATTATCTTAACCACGCTACTAGGGAAGCTAACATGTCGGTAACTGGTAAACAGTTGTCTGTTTCTTCTCTTAAGCTGACAGCATTATCGGAATCCTGAGGTGTCTACCTGAGATAAGGACATGTTGAATAACACAGTCAAGGGTGCATCAAAAATATCTGCAAACAGTAGCAAAATCTCAGGATACAATCCGTCCGGTCACAAGTTCTAAGTCCGGCATTAGGAGAACTGTCTGTTTCTCTACTTCAATAAGTTCCATTGGAGGAACATTTGAAACACTATCAGTGTCCAAAATCACGTGAGAGTTGTCAAGAGAAAACGGCTAAAATAGCAAGATAAACTGTGCTTTGGTCAGGTTTGATTCTGCTACATATTTCGTCTCACTAAATGGTAATGGAGCAGGGATCTCGTCACCCCTTCCAGTTTTTCTTTTAATATGAGATAACAGGTTTTCTAGACATTTTAAAACGAACAACCTACATCAAGAGACCAGTCAGGAAGAAAAGTAGCACTATTCCTAATCGCTAAAGTGTCCTCACACCAAGCATTTGAACAGAGAAGAGTAGTGCTGTAAATCAACTCCTGGATTCAACAGCAGATTGTTATCAAAGAAACTGCTTTGCTCAATTGTGATGATCTCATGCCAATTAACATGAGATGCATTGAAGTCTCCTACAGTCAATCATTTATTACTAGTGACTCACTGCCCAATAAAGTTTATCATGAAGTCATCGGCAAGGCAATTCAGACCTCGATAGTTTGCTCTTATTGTCACAACACCCTACCTAGAATTGACTTCGCAGTTAATAGCTTCACGCGTGTCACTGCGGTGTGCCTCAGAAGTGGTCAAGTGAATCTGTAGGTTATCATGAACATACAGCTTTACGCCCATACCCTTACTAGCCCTGACTCTGTTCGTCCTAATACTTGTATAACCTGGGATGAGTGGGGATGTATCCACATATAACACACACACACACCAATAGCCACAATACAGTATCCGCTATCACGTCCAGCTTTCAGCACTCAGCTAAGTCGTGCAGCTCGGATATTTGATTCCTGAGACTACAAGGGTTAGTGTTGCAGACCGATAGACTGTTAGTTCGGACGTCCAACTTATAAAAACTGATCTCAGGAGCATCGGTTGGAGAGATCGCACTACCCGGAAACCCAGCATCTGAAGGTTTTTCCACCCTTTATCTTGTCGAGCTTTCAAAATCTTGGTAATATCTACTTCATTTCTGATAAATTAATGTGTGACTGGGAAGCATGAGTAAACGAGGTCCTATGGCTTTTAGTATCAGCTGCAATCCTACAGAGTGTGGCACTATTCAAACTTTCGTCTTCGGTCTTGTTTACTGAAAGGCGTGACGCTATACCGTGTCTTCGACCACGTTCGACTCTTCTAATGCGGCAAAGAAACAAGCAGTTTTTATTACTCAACTCTGTACCATGATTCGGTAACAAAAATAGGAGATGGTTTCTTGACACTCCTAGATCACCGTGTGGCGAAGGGTGCTTAGTGATCAGTAGTTGCGTAAAGTGCATGAACGAATGGTCCAAATTTTGTGCAGTGGGACTGTGACCCAGATTTTTATTTCACCATCAATCATGGCCTAGTATCAGTGATACGAGCCTGGCATCTCAGAAAGTCACACTCATAAATTGATTGTGTTAGTCTAAAACTTGGGAATTGTGATAGGATGTAATTCCACATTACATTTGTTTATTTATTATACTACAGTGATGAAGTATTATTATTTACTCTTTTGTCAAGTAAATGATTGCGTTTGAGAATCCAATGAAGAAAGACAACTTTCAGGACTAATAAGTACGTTAATCATGATGCATATCACTGGCGTCATGGAGAGTTGTTTACCGGATATTGAATTCGAATTTATGGAAAGTAGCTCCGAGTATATTTGAATATATACCACTGGTGTACATCCTTGACCAACTGCACTAATTTTCAACTCAATTGACATTCTTATCCAAAACATGTAATTTCAAGTAATGGCAGGGGGCCTTCTGTAAAAGTGTTTGTGAACATTTGTATTCAGCTGTTAAATATCATGATTATAGCGTTTTATTTTCACGTCATGATTCCGATCAGTTATACTGTTCACTGTCAAATCCATTATGTAGATGTCCCGCCATTGATTTTCTTCACTATCATGGTCAGTTTCTATTGAATTATCTCTGAAGCCGTAAAGAGGTAGTAGCAACAATGATCAAATTAATTTTTAGAGGGCCAAGTTTTTAGGACTCTGAGCTATACAAAATTCGTCACTAGAATTCCAATAACTAGTGCCTAAACTTGCTAAGTAAAACATGTTCTTGTACACTGGTGAAAAATATTACATCAGTCGTGTAAGCAGCCGATTAATGTCAACATGGAACCTTACGATACTGTGTAACTGTTAAAGTTGCTTTGATGGTTTCAACTGTTTTAAATTTATATTTATTTAAATACGTTGCGTTTTCTTTTTAGAGATTTAGGCAAGTAAACACTTCAAAAACACCATTAATTTAATTCATTATATATGTTATGGAAATCTTCCCGAATACATGCAGAAGCACTAAAATCATTGTGAATGCAGATGACGGGTTTTATTCGGATATTCGAGACCAGGGTATCGTTTCCTGTCTTTCAGCGGCTGGTTATGGAGCGTCAGATGTCTCGATACTGGTGAATGGTGCGGTCGCGAGACATCTGCTTTGTGTTTCAGAACAAAAGCGAGCACAATCGTCTTCCTGTTTTCTTTCGTTGCGAAGAACAATTTCATTCCAGGTAATATTGCAGAAGCAGCTTGTCCTTTTGAAACTGTTGGCGGTTATCACACACTGTATGATTTTGGATATTTCGTGTTGTTTTGTCTCCTATATAGCGTACGCACTTGTCGTTTACCATGAGGATCCATTGTTCCAGTACTCCCTCTGACTGCATTTCAAGTGAAGTGAAAGATGAGTTCTACCATAACTTCCTAGCCTCTTACTTGAAGCCAGGCGCTCAGATGTTATTGTAGCGGTAAATTCAACTCTAGCAAGACAACCACCTGTTTTCGATCAAAGCGAACTTCAAATATAGACATATTATTGGGTGTAGCGTTCATCGACCTCAATTCAGCGGTAAACAAAGAGACCATATTACTATCAGCTATCCCTGGGGAGGGTCGGTGGAAGATAGTCGCTGCTCCTGGAGAACCTACTTGAACTGTAGTCATGTGCTCATCCATGCACGCCTATGTCTATGTCTCAGTGTACTTAAAAAACTACCGCTGAAAGACTGTTTCAAGCGCAGCTTTATAGCAAGAAAACAATGAGGAACTGGCTAGGTGGTTATTGCACTTACCCTTAAGAAGCTTGATGCCATGTCTTTTCTGCTATGAAAACAGAGTTAAGTAATATTATTAACCCTCAGGAAAAGACTAAGAAGAGCCGATGGATTTCCGATGTTTCTTTTGCAATGATGCATGCACATGGATGCATACATGCAGGTTCTGAGCACAACGAAGAGCGGAAGCAACTCTAGTGTGAGCTGTTAGTAGTTGTGGGCAAAGAAGGTTAAGGAGTTGAAAAAAAAACGGTGGTAGTTAGTAATTGACAGGTCAGTGGTTAATAAAAATATAGTGGGGATAGGAAGGTTTGTGATTCATTTGCCAGCAAGAGTACTGGCGCAACGGTTGGGAAATTTTGAAAAAGCGTAATTCGACAACTGTGTGTAGGTTCCTGCCCTAGGGAATGAGCCATACCTATTTTGTAAGTGCATGTGATACTACTTGGCTGCTCAGACCTCGGCAGGCAGAGTAGGGATCCAACCCGTGATCCACTAGCTGAAGTGTTGTTTAGCATACAATAATTAAGTATGATCACGTTGAACGATGTAAGTTGTCGATTACCTCAGTCTTCAACGAAAGAAATCCTGTTATGAATATGAGTGAGTCAACCTGATGAATATAACGTGAGCAATCCTAGCTTCTATGACTGTAATACACCTGATTGAAGATCAGAAACGGCACACACGAGGAAACTAGGCATATTTCAGACGTGACTGATCTGTTGACTATATCTTCACCTTGTGCCAGATCTTAGAACACAGACACACCTACCGGCACCTGACACTGACCTGAAGGTGGCCTTCAACTCCGTCAAACTTTAGATCCCATGGCGATGCCTCTCACTGAAAGTTGCACCAAATAAGTACATCTCGCTACTGAAAGTTTTGAACTCGAATACCCATGGTTATGTTGGAGCCAACTGTGATGTGTCAGGTGAGTTGTCTACGTCAAGTGGTGTCTGTCAAGATTTTCTAATCTATCTATTTTATTAGTGTTTCATGTATATGTCTATGACGGTCTATCTCTCTCTTCTAGTCTGACTTCAGAAGGACTGATTTTTTCTTCAGTAAACTCTTTAGTAAGCTTACACTATTATAGTTCTTTCACGTGAATATATTGACAATGAGTACCGAGTGAAAATGTTAAAAATCAGTTTCTCGCAACCCAACCATAAATTGTTGCCTCAGGACTAGTCTGCGTCCATACACCGACTAATAATAAGAAGTGAAGTGGTTAAGCGTGGTGAGCGTTTCACTGATGTGCGGAGTTGGATCAGCGACTGGTGAAATCTCGGAACGGAAGCTAAAGGCTTGGTTAGCTTTTTTTGGCTAACAACTTCCATGGACTTGGTAAGAAATCCCTTTTCTTATTATAGACTGAGTGTATTGCGTGGTAGTTCACTCCTATCTGTTTTATGTGTGGAACATCGCTATCAAAAGTGAAGAACATGAGGAGGCCTTAGCTGTTCGGCCATTGTGATCGCCTTAGCATTCGCCGTGTATCATGCTACCACTATGCCAGCAATGTGGAAAAAACGGAAAATTCTAATATTCAGCAATAAAACCTAGACGAAGCAGCGAAGAAAATTTTGTTCTCGACGATTTCATTTATTAAAGCTGTACAATTTTATTTGGAATCACTGGAAAAAAAATAACTGTTAATCAGTAGGGACACGTAATTACTACAATGCTTAAAAGTAAACAAGAAAGTTTGCAAAGACTTAAAAGAATTACTACTTTGGTCGTGTAAAACTGATGAGTAGGGAAGTTAGGTCCAGAATTTTATGAAAAAGTGGCTAGTCAGTTGGTGAAGTTTAACAATTTTATCGGTTGAGGTGACTGGAACATGTGTTATGTTAGTCATGTTAGTCACCATCTACCTCGTAACGAAATGTTAATGGATGTATGTTCACAAAGATGAAAAAGTCTAAAAGGTGTAGACTAAAACGTGATATCAGTCAAAGAAATCTTTGAGTTTTGTTCTGAATCTTGTAAAGAAATGCAAACTTCACGTTTTGGCTTCGTTTGACAGCCGAAATCGGTGGTTGGCCACTCTTGGTGTTGTGATTTAGAATCAATTGTTGTAGTGCAGATACATCCATCTACGATCTTCATTGTGATTATGATGTCGAATTTCACTGTTCTTTCTACCCTGTCTTCTCTTCTCTCTAGTCTATAATACTAATATAACGCAACCTTGTATAGGCTTTTATATTGGGTTTAAGGCTACATTTATTGTCAATACTTCTATTAGTACCTGGTTACTAAGCTCATTGTAAATAGTATGAGGGTTACGTTCCCAAAATCTAATTAAATATTATTACACCCGTAAATCAATAGTGTACTAATCATGCATTTCATATCAGGAGATATAACTTAAGGTAGTCCAGTGAATGAAGATAAACATGGCCGAAGTAGGTTCAGTCTGGAAAAAGGTATAAAGTGATCAGACTAAAACATGGCATCAATGTATGAAGTCTTTGATTGTTGGTTTGAACCATATCGGGAGTTGCATATATATATATATATATATATATATATATATATATATATATAGACTGAATTTTCTTTTCTTCATCTTCCACTTCACTGCCTTTTCTTACTTGATGTACTGGTATGAGCTATGGCAACTCTAACCGTTACTGAGTATTGCCTGGTCTTATATTGATCTGGATGGATGGAAAATTTAAATACCGGGGAAATTGGAAAGCTATGTATGGTGTGGTTAGAAATTGCGAAAAATGTTATCATCATCAACTATAGTGGTATTGTGCTCTACCACAACGCCCAAATTCTATTCTCATTATAAAATAATCATCTTTTAGAAGAAATAAGGTAGTATTCTTGATGCGAAACCTAAAAATCCTCTGCTGCTTTGTTTACGAAACAATGGGCAGTTTACTGGAGAATGCGAAACTGAGACAACAGTTTCCTTGCTTCCACTAGTTTTTCAGACTATCATTTCATGATGAAACTGACTTCCAAATCAACAACTTACTTGAAAAAAGGTGTGATATTTTGAGTACCTTAATGATAATGGGTTCTACTCATTGAATCATATTTACTGTACCGAACATTACGATAAATGTGTTTGTCGAACAGTATTGTTAATTGCGTGGTTATTATTTCCGTTCTTCCTGACAGGTTTACATTTTAATCTAACTGAAGGAAAATCATTAACTAATGAAAAGTCTATACACAGCCTGCTTGATCATCGTGGTTGCTTTCTGGGCAAGTTTGGATTTCGGAAACATTTGATGTCTTCAGCGATTAATATGACTGAGGTTAGTGTTTTGCATATTGATGTGTAGCATTCCCTTATCAAAATTCGGTTTTGCTATTCATAGTTGGTTTTGATACCCTCACTTGGTGGTTATTTCTTAATTGACAGTTTTTGTTGTTTTAAAAGGCAGCTTTTTATATCAGGAAATGGAATCGGTGGATGAAACGTTGCAATTGGCGAAGCAATAAAATATTTTTAATTTCAGCCTTCATTTGTCTACATTATATTTCATCTCTTGAAACAGGCATACAACATCTGTAAGAGGTTCTCATATAGGCTACTTTAATTTATCACTTATTTACAAATAGGACCTTATTTTTTACTTGTTTAAAGCCTTGAGATCCTAAACTGAATTGACAACCAAAACATTATGAATTACCTCATAGGGATTGCATAGTCTTTCCTGATCCTTTTTAGTTTCTCAGGTGATATGATGTGGTATTATTGAATACTGTCTTCATACAAATTAATCCCTTCTAACCTTCAAATTGAGCGTTTACTTATTGTCTTTCTTTCAGATCCAGATTTATTGTTTAAGGATGGGAGGCTGGGAGCCTATATTAATCCTTTCTCAGTAGATTTCTGCATTTGTGCAATCCTCTTTTGAACGGGTCAATTGATGATGCAGGCACAACTTCTCTTGGGAGTTGGTTCCAGGCGTTGATTACTCGACGCGAGAACCAGTAATCTGCAGAGACTATGTTCGTTCTTTGCTTTTGTGGTCTTCTAGTATGTCCTCTGAGGTGTTCCGACCTATTGGGAAGAAAAAGAGAAGATAAATCAGGTCCGAAGTCATTTCTTGGATCCTGTATAGCATGATAAGGTCTCCCCTCTGTCTTCGATAGGACAAAGTGAAGACGTTCAGCTCCTTACGTCGGTCTTCATACGTGAGGCCAGCCGTCGCAGGGATCATACGGGTGGCTTCCCTCTGAACTCTTTCTAGAAGGTCAGTGTCACTTTTCAGACAAGGATTAGCCGCCTGTGTTATTATTATTATTATTAGTCCCTTGGGTTCCTAGTGGAACATAGGGCTTCAGTAGCACGCCTCCAGTGACCTCTGTTCTCTGAGATCTTTTGAACCTGGTTCCACGACAGCCCAGAAGCTCTCATTTCCTCCTCGCACGACCTCCTCCATGTCACCCTCGGACGTCCAACTCGTCGCTTCCCATGGGGATTCCACTCGAGGGCCTGACGCGTGATGTCCTCAGTCGGCCTTCTCAGTGTATGCCCAATCCATCTCCACTTCTTCCTGCATATTTGTTGCGTGATAGGTTCTTGGTTGGTTCGTTCCCAGAGTTCCTTGTTGCTTATTTTTTCTGGCCATCTGATCTTCAGCAGCGAGCGTAAGCAGTTGTTGATGAATGTCTGTAGTTTATTGGAAATCCTTTCGTGACGCGCCAAGTCTCTGAGCCATACAAGAGCACTGACTTGACGTTGGTGTTGAAAATCCGTATCTTGTTCCGCATGCTGAGTGCAGAAGATCTCCACACTGGTTTCAGGCTAATGAACGCCTGTCTTGCTTTCCGATTCTGACTTTGACGTCCTCGTCCGTCCCGCCTGTAGTTGAAACAGTGCTTCCTAGATAAGTGAAGGAGGTTACTTCCTTCAAGTTTCTCCCGTTGACGGTGATTGGAGTTTGTTGTTGTTGTTGATGGTGGTGGTGCGGTATCTTCATCACTTCTGTCTTCTCTATATTCACCTGAAGTCCCGTCTTAGCTGCCTCCTCTGTCAACTTGTTAGTTTTTTGCCTGCAGATCTTCAAGTTTATGTGACATTAGGCATAAGTCATCGGCGAAATCCAAGTCTTCTAGGTTCTTTTCCGTCGTCCAGTGTATCCCCCTCTTCTCGCTGCCTACTGTTTGCTGCATGATCCAGTCCACCACAATTAGGAATATCATGGGGATAGTAGGCAACCTTGTTTCACTCCTGTCTTCACTTCAAAGGCATCACTGAGCTTCCCATTGTGGATTACTTGGCATGTGGCATCTTCATATAGTTGTTGAATGAGGCGGATAAAGGTTTGCGGTACTCCGTAGTATTGAAGCAGTTTCCAAATTACTTCTCGGTCGACGCTGTCAAAGGCCTTCTCAAAGTCTATGAAGTTGAGGTATAGAGCTGATTGCCATTCTACGCTCTGTTCTATGATGATACGAAGCGTTGCAATTTGGTCAGCACATGATTTGTACTTCCTGAAGCCTGCCTGTTCCGGTCGCAGTTTTGAATCCAGTGCGTCTTTAAGCCTCTCCAGGATGATGCGGCTTAATATTTTACTTGGGGTGGATAGGAGAGTGATTCCGCGCCAGTTCTTGCAAGCACTGAGGTCTCCTTCTTCGGCAGTTGACAAGGTAACCCTTCTTCCAATCGTCAGGTACCTTCTCTTCCCTCCACACCTTCTGCAATAGTGGTGTGAGCATGTCCGCTGTTGTCTCTGCATCTGTTCTCAGTGCTTCTGGCGGTATTCCATCTGGTCCTGCTGCTTTCCCGCATTTCAGTAGCTTTATGGCGTTCAGGACTTCCATTTTCGTTGGAGGATTAATGTTCACTTGTAATTCAGCGGCTGCAGGTGGTATTTATGGACGAAGTGCAGGTGGTGGTCGATTCAAGAGCTTCTTGAAGTGGTCGGCCCATCGTTTCCTCTGTTTCTCTTCTTTGTAATTAAATTTCCTTCTTCATCTTTTATTGGTTTCATCTGTGTTGGTCTCTTCCCTGATAGCAACCTGGTTATTTGATACAATGTCGTCAGGTCTCTCTTACCTGCAGCCTGTTCTGCTTCACTTGCCAGTGTGTCGTAGAAGTGTCGTTTGTCTTTGCGTGCATTCTTCTTCACTTCTTTATCCAGTGTTTTATACATTGTGCTCAGTTCCTCTTGTCGTTGAGCATCCTTGCACTGGTTTATCTTCTGCTTCACCATCCTCCTCTCCTCTATCAGCTTCCAGGTATCCGTCGAGATCCATTCCTTGTCTTCTTTCTTCTTCCTTCCTAATACTGTGTACAGTGTACTGTGTACAGTTTTCTAATGAAGATCTAACTAAGGATGTGTATAAGATGGTGAACATGTCACCGCTTATTTTCGTAAACGTTCTACGTAATGCCCAGAGAGTCCTAAAACTCCGAGCTGCTACCAATCGACAGTGAGCTGTGGTTTTCAAGTTATAACTCACGTTGACTCCTAGGTCATTAATTCAAGAATTTTTTTCATTTGTTGTGCAAGTCTGGTAGTTGAGTAAAACTTCCTTTAATTGCAGTGCGACTTCGTATTAGTTAGAAGAGATGATTCAGCATAACAAATATTTGAATGAAAACTTTATTTTCAGCATTTTGGAAATTTACTTTACACTATGCTTTTCTTTGTGTATGCGGACCTGAGTTATCTTGCCATGGATTTATATATATATATATATATATATATAATATTATATAATATATATAATATATATGCGTGCAATGAAGCAGCTGAACATGGTTGCTTTTAAGAATACGAAATAGGTTAAAATTACCAATCTGTTGAACACAGATACAGCGATCCTAGTAGGTTAGTGATTATTATCCATTCAGATTTTGTGTTAGCTCATAGGTCTAAGCACTTATCGGTGATAATTTAACAAGTTCAGAGTTTCGAATATTTACTGTAGATTAAGTTATATGTTTTTGTATCACATATTCTTTTTAGCATAGTGGTCAGCATTCACATAGTTCTCTACTTCACATATAAATAATTACATTAAGTTATACGTTATTATCTTTTCCCTTGATGATTTTGATGTCAGCATACTAGGTGGAAAAGTTGTTTTTGTCAATTAAGTGTGAACAGTTTCAAAATTGTTAATTAGTGACTCTTAGTTAAGATATTATTCTTTTAAAATAACACAGTGCTAACCTGTTAGTTCTTTTATGAAAGTAATGAAATTATTAGAATGGCGGCTAGTGCAATTAATAAGTTGAAACTGTTTTATTCCACAAACTCTGTTGTATATTTGTACAAGACAATCAAAGAATAACAGGTGAATTATTCAGATACCATTTGTGGAACATTTGTTTAAAACACTCCAACATGTGGACGAAACTGAGTCAAAGATCCTCACATGCTTAATATTGAATGTATTTAGTACAAAAGGCTTGTATTTGTTGAGATAAGAACAGAACTCGGGCACTGTGGTTGAATACAATTTCAAATAAGATTAGTTTATTTTGATATTGGACACATTGATATTTGTTTGTATTGTCTGGTGAATGATGTTTCCAGCGCAATTCCATACTCATAATACTGAATCGATATGTTTCCTATCAAAATGAACTAATCCAATAAGGATTTGAACTTTGACTAGTAAAGTTAGTGTCCACGTTATTCTCCATCTGAAATCTAATGTTCTGTTTTATGCCAAAAATAGTTTCAAGTGAGATAGTTCTTAAATAAGATGACTAACTGACAAAATCAGCGTAGTACCTCGCACAGGAATGGATCGCCTAAAGTTGCTACACTTGACAAATAACACCAAGAACAAGATGGTAACTAGGGACTGTATAATTTAATTGGAGCCCTGATTTTATCATTTTGAATACATAAAAGTTATAATGATATATTTTCTAGAATTTATTCGTTATCAAAATTTTTACTTTTCTTCTTAAGGCTCATTAAGTATATTGTAATTTAGGTCGAATTAGAATTGGAGTCACAGCTAAATGCATTTAGAGAACTTTTTGGTACAATGCCTAGTCATTTCGACGGTCATCAACATATTCATGTTTTACCAGGTGCGTACATCTGATTTTGTTCGATTTTCACCTTCTTTTGTGCATATTTCCTCAGTAGTTAAAACATTTTTTCGAATCAGGTGAACTTTTTAATCAACTGAAAACCTTTTCATTACAAATTTACTTTCAAAGCGTACATTTTTCACAGCCGTAGAGAAAAATAAAATAATGATAATATTGTGGATCATTTACTGCACATTCTAATGATCGATATCTCAGAACTCTCATTCTTCAGCAGTATACGTTGTAAATTTATTACATGCATAAGTAGTTAGGCATTGTATTAGCTTCATGATATGTGAAAGGATTTCTTGACTGCACAACTTGCTTAGTTCAAGCACTTAGGCGACAAGCGAAGAAGCTGCCAGGAATTCTGAATAAGACAAGTTATATCGAATGGAAATTCATTCAAGGTCGACCGTCTGAAAGATTTCGTCAGGTTGCATGCAAAACGTAGAAAAACTAAAGTATAGATCGGATGAAGAAAAGATGATGGTGTTGACTTAACCAGCTCAGAGAGCACAACACCAGGATATTGACTTATTTCATGATAATAATCAATTATTATACAATTTCAGTGGTCCAAGTAGGAAAGTGTTTTGAACGATCTGAAACCTTTTTAGTATGACGAAGAAGCAAGCAAATTTAAAAAGTCGTAGATGTGCCAGAAATTATTTGTTCAATCAAATATGAAGTCGCATTATTGTTGTTCAGACTGGCATAGCCGTGGTTCAACAGATTGGTGTTATTGACATGGGATGGTGATTGGAAGTGAAATGAAAACCTGGGTGGCGACAGGATTCAAATGAGTGGCCTCCGGTATGCTAGTCTCATCCTCTGCCCGCTGAGCTACGAAATCCAGCTGCTGACTGGGTCTCAGTTTCACTTTAACCACTGAGGGTTTCCCCAGGCTATTATGTGATGCGTAACTGCTTTCTCTTCGAAATCACACTGTCTACTCAGTCAGGACTTCACATCTCAACCTAAATCCAGACTAATTAAAGAGATGGATCTTCATACTGATAGTGGTTTGGAATATTCGAGATAACCGTACCTCGGTAGACTGCTTTTATTATCGATATGGGGTGATGATTGATGTTGGATGAATCAGATTTATCAGGTCATTTATTGGTTTCTTTTACTTTAAGGTTCTTTTTTCTGCTCAAAAATAATTGTATGATTTCTAGCGAAGACCACTGTTAAGCTGATTGGTTATTCATGGGGTTAAAAGAACTACACAGCATTTCATTCTCTTCATCAATATGACAAGTTTGCCAAGTACGTGCTTTTTTCTTTCTAATTACCTTTACTTACCGCTGTTTAAATTTTCGAAGCCTGAATTTCAATCTTTTTGCTCTCTGAAATACCTTGAGGTGTAGATTATTTGTCTTTGCTTTTTTTTAAACACTAACGTTTTTCTGTTGGCCTGCCGATAATTCTTCACTCATTACTTTCCAAAAACTATCCAACCAATCATCAACCAATGTCAGCATAGGACCAGGCTTTACTCCACAACTGTCCAAGTTACCACACTTCATATGAGCGCCACAAGTAACAAAGCACTAAAATAGAAGATGAAAAAAGGGAGAAAATTAGGTCAAAAACAGTAAAAAGGAGGAAGCAAGAGTGATAAAATTCTGAATTCATTTGTTTAAGTTGAAGATAAAGTGGGGACACGTGTGGGCCAGATATCAATTCTGAGCCATATCATCTACAGTCTCCAACCAGTAGTTTCCGATCGTTGTAAAAACAATCATATATATAGGCCAATTCGTTATTCGTCAGTTTGTAACTTATTTGTTTGCTAAGCGAAAAGATTTTCAACCTATTTCGTCTCATTGCTGTATTTCCTGTCGTACACTTCATTTTTTTCGTGATAAAAATCACCATTTTTGAGATCGTGTTTACATAGGGCAGGCTTTCAGCGTTAGTAGAATCATCTTCATCAGTGTAAAGTGTTTACTTGGTGGATTTTTGGATTGTTTAGGACTCTTAGGAACTGCCTAACAGGTAGTGACAACCTAAACTCCAATATCTTCTGTGTTATTCAGTATCATTTCCTTCTAATTTAGCACTTACGTAGGATTTGAAGGTATACTACATAGGTGGACTTTCTCCACTCTTGGAAGCAACATTGTAAGAGAGAACCGGCAAGCTAAATAGGCCTTTGTATTAAAATGTTAAAGCGCATTCTCAGGTTTGTTACGAATAGATAACAAGTAATGTGAATGAATGCAGTTATCAGTCGTACTGTTTTCCAGGCATTGCATATAGATTCTGTTTAATTATTCATGATTGATTCCTAATGACGAGCAATAAAGCTTTGTTCTGAAGTGATTGATGGATAAGTGGAAAAGGAGGATTGAATTAAATTCTCTTTAGTACCAACCAGTATTTTACGTATCACGGTGTTTTCACATCTAACTACTTATAATTTAGGAAGTAGTCTCTCTTTTGAGAAACAAAGTTTGCACCTAAAATTGCTAAAGTAATGCAGTGTTGACCTTGGGTGAAATCATTTTAATTCCCATGTTTCGCATTTGATTTGCAAATCCCATATCAAACGATTTGTGTACAGTAAAAGTACACAAAATTATGTCCAATGATCTTAACCTACTTTTTAATCCGAAATTTTCCCTTTACACCGATAAGCGTTCAATTAACTTTGGCTAAAGTTGTGTAAAACGTTATGCAAGATTATTAGCACATGTAGTGCACATGATATTGGAAGCAGCTTTTAGCATGATAATCAAGGGAATTTCTCGTTATTTTTAGACATGACTGTTGTTGCTAAATAGACTTTCAACGAGTAGATTTTTTCAAAGCATTGTATCAGAAAGTCAAGTATATACTATTTGATGTCACTAGAAGCTGACTCCTATGTTTTCTTGCAAACATGATAATAGGGAAATAATCACTGAGGTATTAAATTTCAGAAAAAAATTCGATATGATTCGGTTTTTAGGTTGGTTTTTGCTAACGGTATAAACAATTTCTGACTCATTACTTAATGAGTAACGCACTTTATCATTAATTAATAAGAAGAGTGAAACTTGGGAAATGCGAAATCAAGAGACGTCGTCACACAGTCAACACTTTTTTCCGCAGTTTCATTTGACTTCGGAATGTCGTATCTCTTCATTTTCTGTTGTGAGTAGGGACTATAAGTAGCACCACATAGCAAATGAAACTTTTATTATATCTACTGTTGCATAAAAAAAGCATAAAAACAGGTGAGCAATCAGGAAGTTTATAGTGTAAATCTTAGAAAATCTTAAATTACTTAAATCCCTCCTTAAAATTATTGTTTGTCATTTTCACCACTGAACTCTCGATGAGATTAATCGTCTCGACTGTCGACTTATCATGATCATTTTGATATTTATCACCGAGTCCAACCGTATTTGTTTAAGGCGTCGGGCGGATTGATAACTTATTGCAGACATCTTAATATCACTATCGCATTCTAAGAACACTTTTTCCAAATGTGATATCAACATATTTGTCCTGGAGGCGTGGCCATGCCTGTTCCTTTAACTTGCTAATATTAAAGATTATTTGGGTAAATTAAGATACTTTTGCTAGCTCTTTAGTGGTGAATGTGTGTTCAGCTTTCAGCCAAATCCTGTCACATTTACTTGCCTAGTTTACTGGGAGTATATTTTAATGACTAGAGATGTGGTATTTCATAATATTATGATGCTCCTCTATGTGTTTACCATTCAGTTCCTTCGAAAAACCTCAATGTTTCTAACTTTACTTTTATCTTCCTGCCTAAAATACAATTGTAAAGTTCTTATCATTCTGCTTTGTTATTCTGCTGTCCGTTATTTTCTTTTTTGAAGGCATTGATGCAATTGTAGCAAAAGTTCTCTCTCGAAATGGTATAAATTGGATACGTGTTCCAGTTGAAAGAGTTCCAGAAGAATCTTCACAATTGAATGAGGGTAAGTTCAACTGTTTTTTTGTCCAGCTTATCACCTAATTTTCCATGCTGCCCACACTTTTTTTCTTCACGCAAGACTTATTTATTGTTATTAGTAATAGAAGGAGCATTATAGTAGAACTGTAAACCTGATACTGCATATATGCATACAAAACAATTTACCGCACGAGTTAATTTCACAGTTTTTCGAAAGTGTAGATGATGAGAGGGGTAGGACTCAGCAAAGGTGATAGATGGTAGATGCTATTTGTATGATGATTAACTCCGGTTTATAGTACTCAAAATATCATTGTTTTGTCGTTGAGCTTCAAGGGAACTAATGATAAACTAAAATTTTCCATCCGGTTATCGTGTATTCTTAGAATCTCCAATTGTCTATTCTTATCATCTCAAGGATCCTAGCCAGATTGGTTACAATGACATTTAAGGCTCATACTAAAAGTCAGAGATTTCATGGATCTGTTCCATGTCGTAGTCTCGTCACTCATAGCTTTCTTTTTGCTTTAACATACCTTGGGGTAAGGCTGTGCATTGAAGCAGACAGTAGCTTGGTATGCGTAACACATTTCTAAGTGATGGTATATTGTGAAACTTCGTAATCTCATCGATTGACTTGTCTTTCTTGCTCAGCACTCTACACCTGGCCTCGACATTACTCATATGATGATTCCACCATATGTGACTAACGCTATCAAGAGATTTATTGTCAAAAATCCGTAATCTATTTTCAACGGCTGATTTTCACAGCTGTGTAGTAGGATAGGAGAGACTGCTACACAGTGTTCTCATCCTTTGATAAGAAGTTTGACATCTTTACAGTGCCATACAGAGTCTGAAATGCCTAGCGGATAGTTTGCATCATTGCTGAAATTTTGTCACCAGTAGACCCATTAGGGCTATTGGTGGATATTTTACAAATGGAAATAATAGCTATATACACTAAGGCAAGGTTTTCATTTTTATGTATGCGAGTATATTTCAGTTGACAGATCTTGGTAGATAATTGTTTCCTCTCAGAATACAATGTAAGCATTTTAAGTCTTTTCTCCTGAGAGCAGCTTTTTTAGTCGAAAAGAAAGTATGTGTATGAAAATATACTCATACAGATTCAATGATTGATGCTTTTTAATCATAAGTCCTTCTACTCATATCCCTGGAAGTTGTTTTTCCTTCTTGATACATTCAGAAGAGGGAATACTGGTTTTGGTGCAATCCCTTAGTTAGATTCTACACAGTCGAAATTTTAAAAACGAATATCAGAAATTTCTGAGGTGCAATCATTTTTGTGGAGTTTTTTTTCTTTAAGTTCTAAGTAGCATTTGAAAACATTACTTCATGAATTTTATTTTGTGACTAGACAGTACTTGATAAACTGAAATAAACAAAGTTTCCTTTTCACAGTCATATTCATGAGCATCATACAAGGTTGAAAATAATTTGTATACGTTAAGACAGAATCCAAGTTTACCTGAATACTATTACCTTTATATAGACGGGTTTATCTTATGTGAAAAGGAGGTAGTTCGATGAAAACTTGCTGAATTTTCCAATAATGTCCATTCTTCGCGACGAAAAGCAGGAGAATAACATATCGTTCCTTGACGTCCTCCTTACTGAAAGGATTGATGGTTATACAAAAGATGAATGTATTCAGAACAATTAAATAAAGCTGACAAAACAACCTTTCTTTAGCTTTACAACTTTACAAGACTTAAGAAGTCTGGTTTCGTGTTGTAATCATAGACGAATGTCATATTCTGAATACTGTTTCATTAATATATGAGTAAAACTTGTGCACTGTGGTAGAATGTAATTCCATTTTTATTGATTTATTAGACTTATCACACGGTGAAGGAATAGTATTGTTTACTGGATTACGTTTTGGACATAATGTATTGTCCATAGTCATATCAAGATAACTACACAACTTTAAGAGATATCCTTTATATAGTCCTAATTTCCCCGTCTCTTTACTGTAACTTAGAAAATTGAGAAATTATAGAGAATGTTATAGCAGAATGGGTATTGAATTAATTTCGTACAGAAATATGTTTCAAGATATGGTAACGATGAATACTGTTTGGAACATCATCCAGCAAAGTAGTACTGTATTATTGCGTACTGTATCAAGTAAACATCGTAATACGTGATCACACTGTAATCCTTTTTTATTATTTTAAGTTCTTTCTGCTGCAGTTAGCTTTCCTACTGCTCTGGTATGAAGTACCATAGCTTAAATCTTGCCTGTTTTATACGAGTTTCAACGCTGTTTTTTTACTTGTCAGTCTGCGACCTTATCAGAAGTTAGTCAACAATGCTTTCACAGGTTTTTTGAGGTTGAAAATGTTAACTATTGGAATTCCAACCTATATTTCAAAGTGATATGTGTTTTCAATAAACCTTAAGGTCGTTCGTTGGATCTCATGAACTTTCACAAATGCGTGGCACCGGAAAGCATTAGATTATCACAAAAATATCTGCATGGATACACACATTACAACAGATGTCTTGTTCTTATACTATTTAGATTCTTTCAAGGCTAAATAAAGACTTGGAATTTTATTGCCATCGATTGGTTTTGTCTATCAAATGTTATTTTATTGCATTTAACTGTATGACGTAAACATTATTACTGCATAATTTCCCTCCTATTTTTCCTATTCACTGCATAAAAATCTATAATTTATCAATTCACTGAAGAGAAAATGAAATCACACTATTACTATCGTTTGATGTCATAAGTATTGTACTTTAAGGTTTTCTATGCGAAGTCGGGTTTGAAGATGGATAGACTGGTAAGAAAGAAGAAAAAAAAAGTAAAAAACAGGAAAAATTCCTTATGGATTAAACTGCCTACACAATATTATAAGCTGAAAATATATTGCTACATTGGTAAATTTATTAAAAATGTGATGAAATCCACTTGTATTAGTTATGAAATGGGTACGTAAATGTGAATCACTTTTAAGGGTTAGCTGTAAAGACCAAATTAGCAGCAACTGAAACAACTAATCGTGTTTCTCTATTTTGACTTGGAAGCCAGTTTTTTTCATAAATTACGAAACTTTGATTGATTATACAGCGATTATTAGGGTGGCCTTTAAAGTCACTCCATTTTATGCAATTTATCTTGAATTATTGCAAGTTTATTGAAAAGTAGATTGATAAGGATAATGCAATTGGCTTAAACATTGCTTATGACATGTGAATGTGGTTGAAGAAGATATGCGAGATTCATATCACTGAGACTTAATATTCTTCTCTCAAGACATGGCTTCACATATATACTATGATCACTTACTCTCACAATACTATCAAGGTGTTTCTAGGCATACTTATGCAAAAATAAGGTGAAGAAAAATCCCTTGACTTACTTATTATGACTTCCACTATCAGGAATATGAATTTAAAGAAGACTTCAGCCAATAAACTTTTTTTCGGTGATATCATTCTCGAAAATAATACAATTTCACTTAGTTAATTATAGTTAATGCATATATTTAGTGGTAAAGAATATCAACATGGTTTGTAAACTTGTAATTCTTGTTAGATGTTTGTGGTAAAGAAAATAATATGTGGATGATTATTATACAAGAAGTATCCAAATATTTGATAATGTGACTAATTGACTTATTGGTAAACAAGTTTAAGTTGAAGAATACGCAACAAAATAATTGAATTACTGTCAGCGAGGAAGTCAGTAACGCTCAAGATATTTGAAATTAGAATTTAAACTAGACGTTTTCATAGAAACAAATTGAAAAATAAAGACAAGTAAAGTTTCACTGTCTCTTCTTTTGTCTGTTTAGTATTGACTTAAATTGTGCTCTAGCCTGTTTAACAGTTGCTGCATCCACCGAACTTAATGCTACTTTTTTGCTAGGTACGACATCTTCAGGTTTTAGATGGTCTATTATCACCTGTAAGTTTAGTCCTTTATCGAGTACTGTCGTCTCAGCTGAGCTTACGTTTTTCGAAGAGAGACTGACTACCCACTTTGTTTTATCGATGTTTGATGTTTCATTTGTAATTTGATTATCTTCTGAGGGGTATTTTCCTTGCTACACTTTTTGACTTGACTGTTTCTGGATTTCTTGAAATCAGCTGACCTTGCTTTATCTGATGTTTTTATAAGAAATTTATAGTCTCTATTGTTTACTATCTTCATACGTTTACATTTTGGTTGTTCAATTTTATTCTGTATAGTATTTTACTTTCTGATAATCCTGTGAATTTCTTCCATGAGACGAAGTTTGCTCACATGTTCTAATGCTTTTGTGATTTTTTCAGTGGACAAAATCAAAACAATTAGGGTTAGTTAGACTTAAGGATTCACAATTTTAATAGAGTGGTTAGGAAAATTCATGGGGAAATTGCTCTTGAATACAATTCTGGCGTTCAATTTCGTATTTCTAAAGCTTCAGCAATGAATTCCAGACGGTTTTCAGTTGCGTATTTCTATCAAGAGATGTATTCGAGTATCTCTATTTTTGAATAGTAGAAATTTTAGTTACTTGTGGTGTGTGGAAAGTTCTGGGATTTCATATGAAGGAGGATAGTATTCTGTGTAGATTTACAACCGTTTCACATACGATGAATATGCCGCCGACATCTATTTCATCGGGTTTTAACTGACAGAGAGTGGTTTGTAGAGATGATAAGATGTAATTAAGCTTTAAAAGTTAACTGGTTTGGAAAGGTAGTTTTACATAGAAGGTAAGTTATTAAAGGGTTGGTATCTAGTGAAGAGGAAAATGAATGCAGGAATTAGTTCGTGTATTATTGCTCGCAGCATTCAATATAGTCATGTTAAACTCAGTGGGCAGTAGAAAAGATTGACTACTGGCAGACTTGTATTCTTGATCCTGCATGATGGTTGAAGGTGAAACAAAAATCTGGGTCGTGGCAGGATTTGGACCAGTGGCCTCCGTGTTTCCAACCCAGTGCTCTACCAACTGAGCTACGACTCCCAGCTACTGACCAGATCTTAATTTCACTTCACTCATCAAGATTTTTACCTGACTGCTATGTGAATTCGTCATGCATAACTACTTGTTCATCATGTTCACACTGGCTGCCTAGTAGAAACTTGTTATCCCAATCAAAATCGAGCTGAATTGGAGAGGTGAGCATCATACTGATTATCAATGTGACTGAAATAGCGGTAGTTTGATAGACTTGTATTATTAGTACTGGTCCGAGTCCTGCCTTGACTCGGATTTTTATTTCATATGTAATTATCGTCCGATGTCACTTTTAATATGTGCTCAACATTTTGCTGTCTATAACACCATTCCGTGGCACCAAACTGCACATTTTGATGAAGTTTCTGCTGATTTAAAACATAGATGCTGTTATGACAGCGATTACACAGTTATTGTTCCTCTTCCTTTTCATTACGAAGCCATGGCGACGTTTCACTGTTTTTCGTGATAAAATTCATGAAATAATCTTGTGGATGTGAAGGATGCTTTCCTACGGTACTTTAAATTGTGTGATGCTGGTATAGATTGCGTTAATCACTTGCACAATAACCTCTAATTCTACTAGATATGTTGCTGAATTTCATAATTTGTCTTGACAGACATTCAATGCATAGTTATTTGATGATCTCGAGGGTCCTAACCAGATACGATTGTTCGTGAATGTGCCTGGCAATTCCTGATTTCTCTTGGGATCATAACATTTCCCCTCTGAAAGTGTAAACTTTGAATATGAAGTTACTTTTGCATTTATCTGAAGCTTCTTGATAGGATTTATTGCACTATTTGTTTTGCCTCTTAATTGTATGGGTGAAGCATTATTCCTGGTTGTTCTTCTTTGGCTTGTCTGTTCCTATTTATTGTGTATCATCTGATTCTTATCCACTAAAATCCCGATTATTTGATATTGGAAAACAGCCATGTTCTCCATTTTTATTTTCACGGGGATTTTATTTGATGACATTTTAGTCTAGGTTTTAAAGTTAACTTCCACTTCATAGACTATTCCTCCGATTTGTCGCACGATAAAATTTTTTTAATGCATTCCACCTCGGCAGGCTTTCATCACAACGTTATGGTCTTGATAGTTTAACTTCTCTGTTCACTTTTTTTGATAGCACGGAGTTTAAAATTGTTCTTACTTTGCGCTAGGTTGTGAACTTCACTACTTGTCACTTTTTAAGCTTGGATAATTTAATTAGAAGATGACGTTTGTCTGAGAAATATAATGTACTTGTGCAATAAATTTCAGACAATCTGATCATACATTTACTTGTCAAATCAATTAATGTATAAATGAAAAATGGGAGGACAAATATAACAATTTTCAGAATACAGGATTCGAAATAAAAACAGTAATAGAGGAAGAATAATATATTTTAACACTACTCTTGGTAATAAAGTCAGATAAAGAATGATAAGTTGTCGGATAAACTTTATCTCCTAGTCATACATCCAACATTTTCTTGTTGTTTGTTTCGATTAGGCTTTCTGCGCGCTGTCAGTAATTTAGTTATACTAAAAATTTAAACCTCTTTTTTTTCTGCCCTTTATGATAGTTCTCTTGAAGGTATCTGCATTTTTCTATTTGGTTATTCGATTATAGATTATAAGGTGGTTAACGCATATGTTGAGCAGTATTACATTTAGTTCGGTTTTTGAACACTGTGAAACAAAAATATGAGCTATTATCTGTTACCAAGGTTTCAGAAACATCGAAGTTACTAAACAAACTTAAGATTTTTACAACTTTTTTATATATTCTATATGAGCATCAACAATGATAAGGTGCATCTTCCCTTCTAAAGGTTGTGAAAAATGGTCATTTTTTCTCTCTCACAGCAACTGGGCTGAAATTATGACATTCACTTTACTTATTTCTTCTCTAGCTTGTACAGCACTACAACTCAGGAGCTGACATTCAACCTTCTAATTTATGACAGAACTGCTGATGTAAATGTTTACGATTGATATAATTTTGATGATGCAGTGATGGTCATTTTTAAGCTTATTTATTACCTTGTTGCTAAGACTTATAGACACCAGAACTCTTTCTTCAAATATAATACGACAGTTCACAACTGTGAGTAGTTGATAGCAGTGATTATTTTGTTGAATCTCTCCAAAAAGTAGGACATAGAGCACTTTGTTTAGAAGTTCTTCACATTATACAAGATTACATTTTGTTCTGTGTTTAGTTCAGTGACTTCATAGGTCACTAGTGATCTGAATACAGCATCTTTTAACTCTTGGAAACTTTCTGGCTAGCGTCCACTGCTACAACCACAATGCCTTGCTTTGATATGGACTACAAGTCTTTACGCTCATACAACTCATCCGCTTGGTCGAAATTGTATGTAGACTGGTAACTTATCCTGAAATCATAACTCACCTTGGCAGATGTTCAACTGCGTGAATGAAGACTTTTTTGGCCAGAAACTGCTAGTTGTAGCTGATATTAAGTTGTTAGTATGACTTAATGTTCAAAACTTTTCAATAGGAAAATGAACAGGTTTTTTCTCCGTTTAAATATGCTTCTACTCTACTAAATTTGAGCATCGTGGAGCTGTCACGTTTCAGGTGTAGCTCATAGCTTAATGAGGGATAATGGCTAGCAGTGGAATCTAGGACGCTCGTTTCGTCCTACTTAGGACTCATCAACTGAATGTACCCACCTCATATTGAGTGATGTTCCGACTGTGAATCAAATTCGAGACCGATCGCTTCAAACACTACAGCGTTATCTACTAGGCCAACGAGTCACGATAGCAGCTTCTTGTGTTACGGGCATAGTTTTAACGTTGTTACTTGTATAATTCCTTACGGGATAATAGTTTGTTATACAGACCTGTGGCACTTCAATTAATTGCACTTGTTGGATTACTAAGTTACTAGGTGTAAAAGCATTTAATATAGCCGAATAGCAAACAGTTGATGATCTGCTTCAGGTTATCACTGAATATTTTATCATATCATCCATCAAAACAAAATGTTTTTCACATCCAATCATGATCATCACCTTGAAGATGTTGATGATTATAAGAGAGGACAAAAAATACGGTTTCAGCGAAGAAATGTTTTTTATTTTCGACGAAGTCATTTACTAAGTTTTATATTCGTGAATATATGTTACAGCGGGTAGGATAGAAATATTTCCGGTCTCGGGTCAAAATGTATTAAATAACCAAAGGACCTTTAGTGATACAAATGGGGGTTTATAGTAGAAACAAAAATAAGGTATTACGCAAATATGAAATATAACTATGTAATGCACTATTTATCTAGGATAGTTAGGGTTTTTTTATTACCATGACAAAGACAAAGGTTAAATCTTCCTTTTTGGATATACAGCGCTGGTTCGAACTTCTGGGTGGTTAGTGCTTCAGGTATATCTAAATGTTTGATCGAACCGTATAGATGATTTTTAAAGAGTTCTCAAAAGCACTTGAATTTGCAAGGTGTTCTGTTACTGAGCTGAAACTGCAGTTCCATTCTCCTCCTGCTAGCTACGTTGAACAGTGATTCCGAACACGTTTTCAAGCGAAGAGAATGAGGCCAGCTCCTCAGGAGCTGACAGCAAATGTCCTTATTCACAACTGGAGAGTTGAATTGACAAATCTGAGATATTACTGTCTATTCATCTGGATACCGTTCGTAATTGACATATTTTTCCTATTAGGACACCACAAATTATGTTCGATAAAACGCAAACTAATCACTTGTAGTGATACCGTAGGACTCATGACTTTATACTTATACATTCATAATTCCCATTGTGATATCAAAAACAAGATATTCAGCCAAACTTCATTTGATCTTTATCAGTCGTAAATTGTTCTCCGTTAATGTAAAAGACAATATCCCTCGACAGGTCACATCTATGTGTACCTACCAGTTCACCTTCTCCTGTGGAGCAGTATACATCGGCTGTAGTCAGAGACCGCTGTCAACATGTATACGAGTACGTATTTCTGTCTGGTTTTATAAGGGTGAAAGGAAATGCATCAAAAATTCTGTCCTTGAGCATTTAATCAATTCCAAGCATTCAGCCGACCCAAACAATGATTTTAAACTTTTCTATCGAATTCACTCAAACAACTCAGGTTCCCTCCGTCTTCGTCTTGGTCTTGGCTGTCCGGGAATTGAAGTCTGACCTTTGTGTGCAAAAGGAGTGCGTACAGTCTTTGTCTCTACCTTAGCTTTAGCTTATTTTGATCTTGGCGTGCTTCGTCGCTTTTTTTTGTATTTTCAACTTCCCCTTTTGTCAGATTAGTCTCTGTACTCTTATATTATTATTATTATCACTTTTATTTTTACATTTAATGGTTACCGGTGTTACTTCAGTTGCAACTGTTAACAAAACACTTTCAATTTATTCCAGTTAACTTGTCTCATTCATATTACCTAATCCTTTGATTGTTTATTAACTCTACCACGTTTCCAACCCTTTGCAATCTGTGAACTTTATAAACGATTTAAAATTCTAAGTAACGCGTTTTGTTATCATTCAACCCCTACGTTAACAACTAGCAACATTACTATTATCCTATGCAGTTTATAGCCATTTTTGTTGATTTGATTTAACTTCTAACCAGTCAGTTGATATAATGGTAAGAAATCTCAAATACGTTTATTTATCAAGTTCAGTAACTTTTCACTATAATGTCAGTGACTTGTTTATTAGCTCTGAATATATTGATTATGTAGCACGTTGAATATGTTGATTTAAGTGAATTAAATGTCTCGTAGTTTTCCTCCTTTGATACACTGTTTCTTTTGTTTTCTTTTCTGAAATAAAACTCTAGCTGAAATAAATTTTTATAAAGAAGTATCTGATCAAGCAACAGAAGCAAAAAAAACATTTACGTCATACAATTTAAAGTAGGTTTGATTCTCAAGTATAGTATCACATGTTATGTAATCTTTTTACCAAATTTATAATACAGTTGTCATTTCAATTCATTATTAAACTCTAAAAAATCTATCTAGATATCTTTTCTAAACACACTACTTCCTAAACTATTTATTTACTTCTCATGACTATCTTAATGCTAAATTTTCAAGCGTGCTAATATTTATTTTATCATTTTGTCTTTTCATTCATATCATGCATTTGTTGATTTACTGATTACAGTTGACCAGACTTTATTTAAACAGATTATTTTTCTGTTGACTATACGATAGTTAAGAATAGTTGCTTAAAGCTCTAGATATTCAGATAGAAATGTGTTAGTTATTGATGTAAGCTAGGAAAGATGAACTGCTGATTATTGTGACGAGGCGTTTGGCCAAACAAGCAACAGTAAAAGCTTTTTAACTTAAATTCAATTAAATATGCCAATCTTTGGCCGTTTCTCTGTGTTCGTAGCTGATCAATGTATAAATGACCTTTGGTTTCCTTCAGTTCATCCTAAAATAAATCTGATCATTGAGAGAATAGTGGTCAGTGTTTAACGCAACAGCTATATACAGATTTGTATATCAGGGAATGAACCAAACTTGGTGTTTAATGGCTAGCTATACTGCCTAACTGCAAAGTCAATGTCAGTTAGTTCAAGATAAGAACTTTCGATCCACTGGTTTAAAATAGAGTACTGAGTTCTATCAGTCACAGATCGAGTTTTTATTTGTCCTTGGTTTATACCGGGACCAAATAACTGTAAAGAAATGGGCTTCTTAGATTTGAATGTGTGCTTAATCAGTCGAAACGTATCCAGGTTCGCACTATATGGGTAATCAATTCGTTGCGTTACTTTGCATTATCTGATCAAAGCTTTTTTCGTTAGTGATCAAGATCAGTTGTTAGCACATTGATGAGTGTTTAGAATTTGGCTGTAGAACTCTCTAGACAACTGTATCAACAGTAGGGTTTTTCCCCTCTAAACCTGTTCGTTTTAGTGTGAGCTTCACGGTGCACTATATAATGTAGTTTAAGGAAGATACAGGAAATCCTACTATAATTAATTGTTCCTTGTACAGTTTGGTGTATAGTGTGAAAATTCCTTGATTCAAATCTGTTTCGAAGTGAATCAAATTTAACGCTAATGGCTATGTCTTCTTAATTTATACGAGTACATTCAAAAGAAAATAACAATAATGAAACAAACTCCTAATACATTCAAAGGTTTCATAGGGCTGTTGATTTTCGGTTGGAATCAGTAACATATGGTGCTCATTAGTCATAGAAACTTTCATTAGACTAACAATGATTTCAAATCAAGTTTAAGGTATACGAAACCCTTAATTTGATGATTATTTTTCATCAAGATCTCTGATTGACTTTCAAAAGGTCAGACTAATTATTTAGCCGAAGCTGTCGTTCGTAAACTTTGTCTAGGGATCACTAGATATCATAAACTTGATATCTTAATTTAGCCTGGCGTTGGATATCGGCTCACTCTTTGGTCGATATCCTGTTGATTTTGGTCCTTAGATTCAGCAAACTATAACCTGCTGACCGACGCATGAACGTAGAACCTGTCACAGAAGTGCACTGGTTCCAGATGTCACAATTCACAGCAGTATACAAAGAAGAGTTGGGTAGAGTAGTAGTAATACTAGACAAAAGAGCATTGGAGAAAAAGGAGTTACAAAATCATGTGTATACAAAAGTTATACTAAGGCAGGCAAGTGTATATGGGGAGACGGAACGAATAGATGAAGTTTGATGAAGTGTTTAAGACTTTGAAAAAAACAGCGAGTGTTTAAATCTGCGCCGCTACCACCGATTTTCATTGATATCACCGAGAGCTCCAACCGTTGGTTCCCGTTGTCTTCAGGAACCCAGTCAAACCATTTACAGCTCCCTAAACGACTCATGCCAACAGCCATAGGCTTTATGGACCAGTTCCGCGTCATCCTCTAACCACTCTGTGCCTTCTGACACAGTCTTACTATGGCTAATATTAGAGGGTGAGTTAGGCGGTGGCTTAGCATGCTCAATACGTGTCCAAGTGACCTCTGTCACTGAAGGTCCACAACTTCTCAAACTGACTCTCTTTCCTTGTCTGATACTCTACACTCAACCTCAACATCTCACACACTGTGATTCTGCAGTACTCCAACAATATTAAGAAAACAGCTATAATCGAATACCTATGGTCTTTACTTCTATCAGAGACCATTTCTGAGTCATATAATAGGATAAAGCGGACTACTGAACATTATACTCTTCCTTTCTTAAAACAACCATATATTCTACGTTATTTTTTTTATATTGTCTTGAATGCTAGGAGAAAAATCATGGTTGTGTACTTGTTTCTTTTCTGGACAACATTTACTGCATTTTCTCAATTGTTAGGTTTTGACAGGATGAAAGCTAAACCTGAACGGAAATTTCGTTCATCGCAGAAATCAATTCATCAGCCCACAAATAATCAGTCTTTTTTAGTGCCTGCTGAGCTAAGAAACATAATGTTCGTCCATTTCATATTACCAGGGTGTTGTGAATGATAGGTTACATTATATGGTGGGCTCATTATTCATTCAAAGACTGCTCATTGCTTTTTCGGTTGATTGAGATTGAGCTAAAATGTGAATGAACACGTAGTGTAAACAAGCGAAATCAGTGCGTTTCTTGTTCATCATGTATCAGCTAAAGAAATTATTTGACTGTCGAATTGAGTTAAAACATTTTTTGGTGACACTATGGTTTCACTGAATATTTAGCGTAGTGATAAAGCAGGTATACTCAAGACTGTGATACGTATCCTGTTGTAATTCAAGTTTTCTTTGAGCTCAGTTTGCGTTGCTATAAGGTTTTGATAGACAGTAATAACGTATTATTTATTGCATAGAGTGACATTTATATCTACTAATTTGGCCTTTAACCAACTTTGATTATCTGAAGATGTAGGGAGAAGAGGGCTCACTCGGTCATAGAGATGCTCAGTTTGAAAATCTCTATGACCAATTAAGCCCTCTTGTCCCTACATCTTCAGATAATCAAATTTATATCTGTTTGTTATCCAGCAGTATAATCCTCAGCGTGAACAAAATAAGTTTTAATTCATTTCAGATTTACTCAAGGATTCATTGGGATGACAATCATGGGGAAAAATCAAACAATCCAATCATTGGATCAATGTTTATCATCATTAGAAAATTATGAAAGTATTGAATTCATGGTTCATCCAGGGTTTAAAATAAGTCATTCCAGTGATTTAGATACTGCAGGTTGTGGAAACCCTGAAGGACCTGATTTGTTCTCTCAGTCAAATGATCGAGAACATGAAATGGCATTTCTTACAAGCGATGAGTTTCGAAAGTATCTACTGGCCCATAGTTATGAACTTGTAGCATTTTCTAACATTTCATAGTAACCGTAAAAATTACTGCGAATGAAAGTGACATTTCATACTGTATGAAATCTTTTAGCATTGGCCGTACAGCATATGCCTTAATTGTCAGTTGTTCTTGGATAAACTTCTGTTCATTTGGTCAGTGCATCCTTCAATTTTGTTACACATTACAAAGAGTGACGTAATACATGCACAAATCCAATCCTATTTTGTTGAGTTAACTTATTGTTGTCACATTAGTAAACACGTTTAAAACTGAAAGTTATTAAAATTATCGTGCTTACTTTAAATGCTGTTTTGTAAATTCCCTTTCAACTACTTTCACAACCAATAAAAACCGTATGTTTTGTGAATGTTTTACCTCATTGAAGCTGAATAAACATGAAAAATATCTAAGGTCTTTGATATGCTTACTACAAAGACTGAATATTGTGTATTCGAGCCTATGAAAGCTCTAAAACTTAATAGTTGTATGTTTTTATTTTGTGTTAATGAAGAAGTTAACATTACACAAACAAAATTTGTGCAATAGTTGCACTGAATTTCACAAATGTCAACTGCACAAAGTAGTAATAAACATTCCATACAAAATATAAACTTACGTGCAACACTTATGTTTTCTTTGTATTACTATTACAAATGAAAAGTATAAATAGTGTGAAGATATAACTTTATGAAAGGTTAAAGCGTTAGCAGTTCAATAGTTTGTTAGTTAAACGTGAGGTCTTCCGAAAACACTTCTTTTGAACAATAGTGTTATGAATAAAATTTAAAGCAGCTGGTCTGTTTGATAATTTTATACAGCGTAATGAGAAGAGGAAGATTATCTGAAACATGTGATCTATTAGAGCTATACATTGCGAACAATCTGATCACACATGGACTTGTAGAACTATTTATGTGTAAATTCACGAAAAGGGTCAATGAAGCTAATAGGATACTTAAGAATCGGCAAAGAGAAAAATGTTAATCACGTTACTCTTGGTATGAAGTCTCTGACTGTTGGTTTAAGCCATGTAGGACGATGCAGACTAGGTGGTTGGGGTCCGGGGGAAGCGCAGATGTATACACACATTATCCTCATCTTAACAACGCTATACCGAATCTCACCATTTTGTCACTCCTCTTTCCTTTCTCCTCGTGCTTTATATTTCTTTTGACTGCATTCACTTATCTTCATCCTTCACCTCACTACCTTTCTACTTGATGAATTGACGTGAGGTGTGGCAACTCGGACCGCTACGCAGTAATGCCTGGTCCTATGTTGATAATGATGATGATGATGACTTGGTATGAAAATTAAAATCAATACTACCAAGGTAGGTTCAACGTGAGTACAAATTGTTTTTGTATACATAAAGCATAGGGTTCGAATTTACGAATGGCAAGAGCTTCAATAAATTTAAGCACTCGGCTCTAACCACTTTATGTAGTACTTTAAAGGCTGTTTTCATGTCTATCCTATGGTTAGTTTCTAGTATACGTTTAGCGATAGACGAAGATGGATGTTTGTCACCTGCACTTATCGGATCTGTTGAGGTCATTTGTTTTTGTAGCCACTAAGTTTGCTATTAATTTGATTCTAAAAAATGTTTTGGCGCTTGAGATTTGAATACATTGCATGAACATTGAGTATTCAAAATGTTCAGCTGTCATAATCAGAAACCATATAGGATGGATATTTTTATTTTTCTACAGGGAAATCATAGTTAAGTCTGTTAGATTTTCTGCAGAAAGATGAGAGTGCGCATAACTGCTGCAGAATTTATCGCACAAGTTTTTCAGTTCCATCTTCCACAGTTATTAGATGGAAAATATACAAAATATCTAAAAGTGGCTACATAGTATATGGATCATGAAAATTAGTTTAGATTATTTAGCCATTTTAAATCCGGAAAAATTTCCAAACCATCATATTATAAAGCCATTGTGCAACATCTACTTTGAAATATCCCAAAAGCATAACAACGTTTTAAATCTTACTCATGCTTACTGTCTCAATCTAATTTTCCTTTTCTGAAAACTGACAAACTGGTGTTTGTCTTGGCTAGTTGTTTACATTTCCATAGTAAATCAGTCTCCAGTCCCAGTTATAGTTTAGAAAACGGTTGATTGGTTGAAAAGGGTATTCTTTTTAAAAAAAACCCATGGATCTCCGACTTTTCTCCAGTTCTTCCAGAAATCACGCCTATCTGATGCTGAAGAATTTAGGACCAGACTTCTTTGCGAAACTTTGAAATTTTTTCATTTCATACACTCTGCGACTTACACAAATACAACCTATATCTAATGTTAACCGATGATAAAGTTTGTAAAAAATTATTTTTTTGCATGTATCTCACGCATATCACATCCTAATTACCTTTCGGGCTACAAGAAAATTATTAGTTCATCACATCAAACTGAATTCATTGTAACTTGATGTGCTCAATGTGTTCTCCTTCGAACCCCAACACAGTGGCCCAATGATAATGTACTGACTATGAAACTTGAAGGTCCTGGGTCTGACTCCGCTTTGTTTTCAATGCTTCTCCAGATTTTGTCAGTTCATGATGAATACTATCTTAAAATAAAGCCTATGTTGTAGGAATCACAGTTGGAACTCAACCAAGCAAGAACTAAATCCACCAGCTACATGATAAAAAGCAGGTGCGTTCGACAGATATTGTGGTGACCAGTTTGCCTGTCAGGTTACTGGAGAGTGTCGTTGAGATAGTCAGTGAAGTAGTATTGAAAGCGGGTAAGCTAGTTAGTATCCCATGCTGCATATATCGTAATGACATGCCTTTATTCCAACCAGGAAGAACTTTCATAGCACATATACTACGTGGCTTCTACATTCCATCTCCTAAACATGATATGATGGAAATCACATTATAAGCAACAGTGTATTTTCTAGGTGTTCACTAAATTTTCTACCAGTCATATGATTTTCCGTGTGCTGTAGGATTATCTGATATTTCGGTCGTCGAATAAAAGTTATTATCGAATGTTCATGAACTCGTTGCGCCGAATACCTGACCGAGGTTGACTCAAAATTGTCTGCTTATTGTTTAGATTTCAGGGTCAAAATTTGACCTGGTTGGGTTTAGTAAGTTGAGAAGTGAATAAATTGATTATTAATGAAATATTTTTGTGAAATTCCAGTGGGTGTATGAAGCGAAGCTGGGTGATAAATTTCAACGAGTATATCCTCATGTACTTCTATCCAATGCGACGAGTCTATACATAGAAGTTAACTTGGAAGTTACATCTGGAATGTTTGCTTAAATAAAGACAATCAATAATTGTCCATCATGCAACGTGATATGTTGAAGTGTCATGAAGCCAATCAAAATATCACATTTGATCAGCATACGTTTCCTAATTCGGTTATCGTATACCATCTACATCTTTTCCGACTGCGAATTGTCTTGTTGCATAAAGAATTTAGTCAATATGAAAAAAGCAATAATAAATTTATCTAAAGCGAAGTGATTAATCACTTCAACAGTTTTCAGTTTGATAATCAGAAGATTTGTATTGAACTTCAGCCCAACTGAAATTATATTTCAATGTTAGTTGAGGAAAAAACAGAACTCCAGAAAAGTTTTGGAACTAAAACTTCATTCCTGGGTGGTTTTTTTTGTGTGTATAGTGCTGGAAATGTATCAGAGGTCCTGTGAGTTTTAACATTGGTTACAGTGGCCTTGAAGCAAATATCGGAAATAATAATTCGAAGCTAATATATACTGTAATTATCACCTAACTTATTTTCTACATGCTTTTTATGCATTTTTCACTTTCACTGATAAACTAAATGTATGAGAATGAAAGTAACTCACACATCTTCTGTTGAAGTTAATGTTACTGTACTATATTATCCACTTATTAATTGTGGATGATAGTTTGAAAAGTTTTGAGAACATCAGGCTTCAAGTTTCACTAACTGATTCAAAGAAACAATGTTGAATTTTTAATCGATAGGAAGGAAAATTAGTAACCTAGTTAGAAGTGAAAATTGTGAACAAATATTATTCACTTGCACTGATTTTGTAGGGTTCTATAGAATAATAATTATTTCTACTATCTTAGGGCAATAAGAGAGTAATTGTGTGGTAATGTATAAATGGAGTACAGCCAATTGAAATTTTCAGTTTACCTATTGACTGTAATACGCAGAAGTGAGACCAGTTTTTTACTTAGGTTGACTGACTTTATCACAGCTCACTGATATCATCGATAAATGCTACTAAATGTGCTTTGAAGACGTATTTATGAATGGTTATTACAAATTTGATACACTTGTACAAATAGTTAGGGCATTAAATAAGTATTTTAAACTGAGAAATGGAGCTGAAAACTATTTTTTTTTCACAAATCGAATATCTAAACTCAAGAGAAGAAAATCGAGAAACTAGTTGAACAGAAACCAGATCATGTATGAAGTGATTCTGATAGTCTACACAGGATTTCTTTCTGTCTGTATGTTACTTGCAATATACTTGTGCGTTGATTGAAAATATGTGATGTAGTCGCTTATTTCAATTATTATTGTTAAATGTGGTCTGTAATATATTTGTATAAAATGGAGTAAACTATTTCCAAATCTAAAGTCTGTGTATGTGTATATATTTTATGAATTAGTTGCCGCATCAGTGTTACATAAACTTATCTCTGAATAAAAGTGACACAATATCCTAATTTAGTTTAATTCACTATTCTGGAATTCTAGTGACAACTTGTTGTAGATCTGGATATTGGATTATGTTGACAATGAACAGGCAAGGGATGGATGCATGTAATCTTATGGACACCTATTCTGAGTGTAAGACACAAAAACCATGGATCAAATAAAATACCCATTCATTGTAAAGACAAATGGATAGGTTATTACATGAAATGACGAACTAACAGACTCAACAACTTACAACCTAGACGTCCACTGATTCAAGTTGCTACAATTCACAACAATAAGATTGAAATAGAGTGACAAAGGTGAATGAGGGAAAAAAAGAACTAAATTAAGGTCAGTGAAA